GGGCCACGTTGGCGATCCACGTAAGCGCGATCGGACGGCCCAGATCAAGCGTGCGATCGGACGGTCCAAATTTAATCGCACGGACGGCCCAGATTTAAAAACGAACAGCCCATATTAAATCAAAATGCACGGCTGAGATCAAAAGGGCAAAAGGATTATAAATAGAACTCCCACACCAGACCACAAACCCTAGCCGCCTGCCGCTCGCCGGAGAAGACGAACCAGAAGCCGGCCGCCGCCACCCGCCGCCGCACCGGAGGGATTTCTGACCGCCGATCGAGGTAAAATTCATACCCCCGACTCGTTTTTCCACGCTGATTCCCCCAGTGGCCAAATCGGAGCCAAAATCCCGGCCAAACGGCCGGAAAACACGGCCGAAAGCCAGCGGCGCCGCCGCGCCCCTTCTCGGTTTTTGCCTCCGATGAGGCCCTTCCCGGCCCCCGTTTAATGTAATTTTTATATCACCGTGATCACCATTCTTTTCTCTACAGGTTGATTGGAGCCGAATCACCAAAACACGAACTTCACCGGAGAGCCGCCGCACCCGAGAGCACCGCCGCCGGTAAGCTTCGGTTTTCCGTAAATTTTCGGCCCCCCGAGGGCCGTAGGGTTGTTTTATCACAGGAACCAATGCGAGTGTGGCCGAAAATGGCCGAAAATGGCCAACCCGAGGCGAATCACCGCCGCAAGCGGCGGCGCCGTCGCCGGAGCACGGCGGAGCCGCCGTGCCGGAGTTGCGATTTGGGTCGAAAGGGGCCCTGGGCCTAATTTGGAATTTTTTTGGAACACGTGCAGGTACCAGTGGTGTGTTTCAGTTCCCCGAGAAAATTCAGAGAAATTTAAGGACAGCTTGTAGGCGCACTGTGAAGCCGTGTTCGGACCCCGGCACGAGTAAGGACCCCTCACCCTATTTCCTATTACGGTATTAAAGCTTAATAAATAATTAAACGGTATTTTGAGACTTTTATAAATGTATAATTGATTGAGGTTGCCAATGGAGCCCTAGTCTGATACAATGTTGGTCTGTTATTGTTTGATCTAATTTTCAGTATTAAATACAGTATGAGGTTTGATGTTTTCATTTTATAGTTTCGTGTGCATATTTTACTGTTTTATTGATTATTGGTTGAATGACTGAAATACCGATACTGTATGTTGTCTGTTTGGCATGAATTACTGTTTTGCTTATCTAAATGCGAATTGATGATGCTGATTGAGGGAAAGAAGAATGGAAGATTGTATAAATTGATAATTGTGTAATGAGGTCAGCCTGACTAGATATCTTGGGAGATGGTGGACGGACCGGGTCCGTAGGGGACCCTACCGGGATTGTGGTCTCTCATACCGGACGGGGTATGGAGATCTTATGTGTTTTGGCGCCCATACCGGACGGGGTATGGGGACGGCCCGTTTCACCCTCATACCGGACGGGGTATTGAGGTTTACAGTTTTGGCGCCCATACCGGACGGGGTATGGAGACGGCCCTGGAATCTGATTACAAGTATTAAGGGTAACGGGTAGCGGGACCCCTATGGATCCCCATGGATACTAGTAGGCTGGTGAATGAGGAAAAGTAATTGTGAAATGATTGAATTGCAAGGGCGTGACGAGTATTATGTTACACAGTTTATATGATTTCATGATTATGATAATGTTATTGTTTTCGTATATTGTTTTATGAATTTCACCGAGGTAAGTGAATGGTAAAAGGTTTTATTACTGATAAATGAGTTTATTGTAAATTATGCTCCATTGGTCTTTTTGTGTTTTCTACCCACCTTTACCTCCGTGACGGTGAGATATCGTGATGTCCTTACTGGGCTAGTGTAGCTCATTCCTTATTTAATCATTTCAGATCGGAAGACATCGTTCCCGAGCCCGTTCCGCAAGATACGACGAAGGGGACGCCTAAAGACTCCAAAGTCATATTTATAGCTTACTTCCGAATTTCTCTTTTAGTTAGTCTGATCTTTTATATTTTGAGCACGTTTTTCTGGTTTCAGTGTAAGGGATGTTAATCGAATTTTTGACTTCGCTTCCGCATTG